TTAATGAGAGAGTGATGGGGGTTATTGATGACAATTATATTAGAAGGAACTGTTTGGGAAAGTTGGCATTGAAGAAAAAAGGGTGGTCGAGGTGAATCGTCAAGTGCTCAACAAGCAGCTGAGCCATCTGAGGATCTTGATTATGCTAGTTGGGATCCAAGGATGAGAGAGACTTGCAACTTCATGTGGGATACGCTCGAGGCTAATCAGAGCTCAAACCAGTTTTTGCATGACCCCTTGGCTTGTACCTCCATCAGTCAGCACCTCAGGAAGTCACTTTTTTCCTTCTCATGAGGAATATGTGTCTTCTTGCAATTGACCTGTGGACATACGCCCTTTCTTTTCGGAGGGGGAAACAACAGATGGTGGTGATGAAGGTGGGCAAGTTTGTGATGATGATGATGAAATGGGAGACTAAAGGGTGTAGATGACCAAAAGCATGGATGCTACAAAGTGCGGATTTTTTTTCTTTGCTCATTTATTTCAGTTCTATCTTAATGTTTTAGTGCTTTTATTTAAGTTTATGTTTGAACAATCTATTTTGGGGTGTTGTATAATATTTTAGTTTGGATGTTGTACCCTTTGGTGGTATTTTTTGTTGGTGTTATACACCAAATACACCTTTTATTTTAATTAAGTTTTTTAAATTTTAAAAGTAGTAGTATAATATTTAATTGCTATTTGTACAAAGAAATTTTGTTGTGTTTGTCCTTGTAAATAGTTTTGGACTTAAGTGCTCAAGGAGCAAGATTGAGTTTTGCAAGAGGCTTTGTCAACTCTTAATTGGGGTGGTGATGATAAAAGTCTCAATGTTGCACAAAGAAGGTATTGTTTTAATTGATTTGCATAATGATACCACAATAATGAAATTAAGGTTTTATGTAAAAATTGTGTTATGCATTATGTTTTAAATATGTGTTCATGTGGGAATCATTAAGGCAAAACCACATATGTGAGTAGCTTTCTATTGTTCACCAAAAGTAGAAGAATTCTAGTAATTATTGTTAACTCATTTAATTCATGTTTAATCTTGCATTATTTTTTGAAATTATAGAAATTTGGAAGTGATCAAGGCATTCTTTGTGTACTGTGAGAAGAACCACCATTCTAAAAGACTTCAAGTTTACCATGAGTAAGTGTACATTAGAAACCCTTTTGAGCCTTACAAAAATGTGTGAATGAATCAATCAGAATCTCAACAAATTATTAAGTATACCACTTAGTAACTTTGTTGTTGAGCATAAAGAAAATTCGATATTGATTCATTTAAATTTTTCTTATGTTAAACACTTAACCCAATTATGCTTTACCCTTGAATGAAGAGCAAGTTTTGTCTAATGTGACAAGAATGTTGAAAGTTTGGGAGAGGATTTATTTGAGAAAAGTAAAAGGAATTGGTGGTACAATGCATCATTTGAAAAATAAAACAGAGAAAAAAAAAAGAAAAAAAAAAGAGAATCAATCTTGAAAAAGAGAAGATATGATGAATTGTAAGAAAATAAATGAATGATGGAAAAGAATGCGGAGGTTGTACAAAAAAATAAAATGCTCTTCATGATTTTACCTATTTTATTTCATTGGCCGTGTGTATATTGTCCTTTGTTTTTAACCTGAGCCAAGCTACAACCATAAAAGCCCTTAGTGATCTCGTTTTCATAATTTTCTTTTAGTTTGCTTAGATGAATGCATGTATTATTTCGGATGTGCCACAATTACTAGTGAGCGTGTTTTGTCCATTGTATATATATTGCATAATGTATGTTTTGTTGAGTGATTTAGGTGATTCATACATGAACACGTTGTTTCTAAAGTTTGCATTATGTGATGTTTGTATTTAGAGTTTAATTCATTGTCATGTTATGATTCTTGCAAAGTGATTAAGTTACCTTATGCGTGTAATTGTTGAGTTTGAACTATCCAAATTTCTTCCGATTGATTTTGTGCTTTTAAGCTTTTTCTTATTGTCTTTGGAATCTTACCTTTTGATTTAGGGACAATCAAAGATGCAAGTTAGGGAGAATTGTTAAGTGTCAACTTTTGATTATTTTCCATATAATATATTGACACTTGTCATACCCCAAATTTGTCACACCCTTTATCAAATAATCTGGATTTATGTTTCACCTTCATATGCATGTCCATTAGGCCATTTAGATACATCATGCACCATTAATCTATAATTTGGTACGGGATCAAGGAATTTGAGGAATTAGGGTTTCTCTATATTTTAAGGTTTTCACGTCACTCAAGCTTATATCAACTGGTTCTTTCATTAACTGTGGTTTGTGGAGCTAGGATTTGGTTTCTTTTCATCACCACAAGGATCACTAGATTCATATTTCAAAGTTTGTCTTCTACAAGGTCCCTCAGGGTAATGCTTTCGACAAAACAAGTTGCAAGATAATTTGAAATTTAAAGTTAGGGGCTCAAGGTAATTGGAATTTGTCATTAAGATTTGGAATTAAAGACTTATCAAGATAATAAAAGTTTCTTAAAGTTCAAGCAATTCATTCATGGTCTATCTTGAAATTAAAGAATAAGTCACAAGTTCCAATTCAAATTTGCAAGGCATGTTCATTCAAAGTCTATTCGAGTGTTTGTTTTGATTCAAGATCAGTAAATGAATGCATATTCTAAATATTGGAAGACTTGTTCAAAATTACAAGAAATACTCAAGGCATACATCGTCATCTCTAAAAAGGTTCACATTCAAAGTTCTAGTTTTGTTCAAAAATGCTACATCATTCAACTTTGTTCACGAGACCTATTCAAGTTGGATTCAAGGAAAATTATGAAAATTATATGGAATCATTTAGCGTACTTCAAGTTTCTATTTGAGGCCGAGATTTTCATACAAAGCTCAAAACTCATTCAAAGTCATCATTTCCAAATCGGAGGAAAATATGGAAGCTTAGAAAGAATCTTTGAAGAGCATTTTTTTCACATCAACAAAATCACCATAATACTCAATACCATAATTCAACACTTACAAAGATTACTTCCATTACAAATTCCTAAAGGCTATGATAGTTTATGATAGTTTAGAAGAATACATCACAAGTTTACAAGTTAACTACGGTCCTAAAGTTCATCCCTTGCTCTAATCTTCAAATTCCACACTTCAACTCCCTCTTCATATTTCCATCCACTTTGATCCATCTTCAACCAAACTTACTGTCATATTTATGCCAAACTCGCAGCTGTATTATGCCATGTTGAAACCATCCCAAGCTTACAGAGAATGCCATAAACCTGCACATAATTCAGTGTACAACCAGCCAAACATAAACCTGCTACTCATATTAGTTCACAATATCAATATCACCATGCACTATTGTATCTAAGCCATGTCCACAATTTAACATAGAAATCAAAACAATTCACATTGATTTTCAAAACCAATTCCCATACTAAATTAAATAGAGCTAGCATGTGTTATTTCAACTAGTGAACAGAAAAACACAAGGGAAATTATAGAAGGCCAAAAACATAACCAAAGATGATGAGCTTGTATTTATTAATCCTGGGGTAATTGCATCATCGATAAACGCATTTACTATCGAGTTGCTGAAGCAAACTTTGAGTTAATTCACATAACCTGTCCTACATCACTTCAATAAATCAGTTCATTCAAACCAGTTGCAAAACCGACACAAAATGTCCGCCACATCTTAGCACTAGTACAAACAAGTTCAAAAAAAACATACAATCCAGATCTGAATAAACCCATTCACCATTTACCTGGCCATTTCCTAAACAAGTTCAGCCATTAATATGCCTTGCCACTGTCAAAATCTCAGAAGAAACTGGAAGAAAAAAGGGAAATCTCAGTAATAAACACAACATAATTATTCAGCAAATAAAAAAACCAAAAACATAGTGTTCTCTTCAACTAACTTTCCAACTGTTTCTAAACTAACAACTAACTTCTAAACAAAATTTTGTAACTAATTTCTAACAGTTTTCAGCTACTAATCCCTGACTTTACAATCAAAACCGACTAACCTCAAACCCAATCCCTCACTTTCCTAACTCATTACTAACATTGAATAACAGAAAATTGAAATAACCAACTTCCTAACAGATCTTAACAGAAGGTAATATAATTGACCTTTAAGTGGTTCAATCCCAACCCTTAGATCTTTTAACCGAATTGTCGATCCAGTGACTCTCAGAGTTTCATCTGTAACTAACTTTCATACCTTCAACCAACTATAAAATCTCACCTCCTTCTTCACTCTTCAAAAAAAAAAAAAACTCTCCACAATCATTTTCATTCACCAAATTCTAGAATCTCCAGAATCCTCAGTCTTCCATTCTTCTTCAACCTCCATTTCACGCTTCAGGCCTCCTACACTATCATCACTGACCTCATCTTCATATTCATCCTCCCTCGAGTTACTCGGAGCCTTCATTCCCTATTCCTCTTTCACTCTGAACTCACGCTCACACCTTAAATAACACTGTAAAAACCTCATCGCTTCACCATTTTTCATCTTTGATCTTCAACAACTCTAATCCGCACTAACTTTCTGCATACAACGATGTCAATCAGATCTTCAGTGTATTCTCATTAACATCGTATCAGTTCTGTAGTATCATCACCGAAACGCAACAAAACCACGCAAGAACCACAAATTCGCAACGCAAGAAACAGAAGCAAAAAATTGAAGAAAAGAATAAGTACGCGTCGTACCTAAAGTTCACCTTCGCCAGAAAATGTGATCTTCGTCGTCGTTGTCGTAATCAAGGTTAGGGTTTGCAACCCCAATCCTTTGATTCCTATGATTGAAGAAAAATGGGAAGAATTTGAGGCCGGATTCCTGTGCAATATTTGATTCAGAGTGAGTTTCGTATAAGTTTTGTGTTGTTTCACGGAGGTTTGTACGATGGTACCGCCGTTCTATTGCAGCACCGTCGAGGGATGAAAATGAAGTTGAGTGGGAGAGCGACGAAGCCGGCCGTGAGTTTGGTGATTAAAGAAGATGAATATCTGCGAGTTAGAGATGGCAGGTATCGCATTTCATATAAAAGAGGAAGAGAGTCGAGTTCCCAGAGAAGCTGAACAACCATTTGATTTTGAACCCTAAATATATGCAATATGATACCGTTTTAGAATTCTGAACATGAAGAATTGATTGTTGGATTGGATAAGGCTGAACCGAAATCCTTCTAAGTCCATCACCAGTGTTTTTTTGAAAGCTTCTGCCTTGCCAAAAATTGAATTTTTTGGGCTTCATTCAGCGGGCCTTACGCCAAGGTCTCATTTGCTAGTCATAGTGACTGATCCAGCTTTGCATCCTCTGACTTTTTTCATTGTCATTTTTAGTTAAGATTTTGAGATAGAATGTTGATGCAACTTTTGCGATGTGGAATGCTTGGAGATTCACTCGTTTGATCACTTGTGTGAAACAACTTTTGTAGAGTTTTCTCATCGCTTGCGCAATTTTGAATAGACAGCGGACCTTCTCCATTAGGTACCACTTGAGTTTATCTCTCTTTCATGCATCTGCGTCTGAAGTCCTACGATGTAGGCATTGGTTTTATTTATTGTCGATTAATGAGTTACTCAATTAGAATTGAGATCACGGCTTCGCTCTCAGTACATGTTCCCTATATGATTTTATTGCTTTCCTTTATTTATTGTTGATCGATGAATCACTCAATTAGAATTGAGATCATGACTTTTCTCTCAGTGCATGTTCCCTATAGGATTGTTACCCTCACCCTTAGGTTTATCTTTGTATGCTAACATTAGGTAGATTCTCCCTTTGTTACCCTAACTTTAGAACCACCATTGCATGTCAACGTTAGGAATAAAATATCCCTTAGATTTTTCATTTCTCTTTTGCATCCATAAATACTAAAAATCTTTCTTAATAAAAAATTCAAAACACTTAATCATACTCGAACTCTCTTTGAAATAACCAAAAACAGTCACAAATCAAACTCCTTTTGCCTTCTGGCTGCCTTCGGGATTTTCCTTTTGAAAACTTTTTTCAGGTAAAACATGTTAATTCATTTATGTGCCAACGCGTGAGTCTCTAAAGGTCGAGCTATGACAGGAAGCGAAATTAATATTGTTCATAAAAAACACAAAACAAACAGAAACTTGTGAGCCGAACTACAACGCTCTGATTCCTCGAAAGGAATACATATGCATTAGGTCACAGGGCATAGGTGAGCAAAACCTTGTAAATATTTCTTCTTTTTCGTGTATTTACTTTCACATGCATTCCCTCTTAGCATTAAGCTTTAGACATAGATTTTTACACACCCTTATATTATAGCAAACAAAAGTGGACCCCGTGGAGTACCACAAACGCGTGGGGTGCTAATACCTTCCCCTCGCATAACTTAGTTTCGTACCTTTCTCTTAGTTGTGAGACCATCTTATCCATTTCTTTGGGATTTTCTCGATATCTTTCCTTCCTTCGGGATAAATAGAGTTCGGTGGCGACTTTGTATTTTTTTCGCAGCGTGATAACACTTTTAAGTTATTTATACGATTTTGATTATGATAATAGCTTATTTTAAGTCATTTTACTTAATGTAAATTATTTTGAATGTTTTAATGTGTTTGTTAGTTTTCAACCATTTTTTATTCAGAAGTCGTATCTTGAAGCGGTCTTAGAGTCGAAGATATGATAAAAGCTCAATGTCAGTGTTTTGAAGGCCTCGCCCGATGAAAGGGAGGCGAGAGAAGAAAGCCTCGCTCGGTGAAGGCGAGGTGAGGAAGTTGGCGAGAGAAATTGCAAATTCAAGTAGCTATTGTCTTGGTGTCTCTTGTTGGAGCGCCCGACAAAGAACCACCGAGAAGGACTCACCCGACGATGTAGAGGTCTCGCTCGACGAGGCAAGATATGTTCTGAGGCTTGCATGCACTATTGCTGTCACGTGGGCTTATTAAGTGGGTCTCTCCCGATGAAGTATGTGTGTCGCTCGACGAGGCAAGGCAGACAGACCATGTTTATAAGCCACTTTTTAGATATTTTAGGATTATTCTTACATTTTCTAATAGACATGTAATATAGAAAAACTCTTGTGTGAAAAAAGAAGAAGCCATTTTTACTTAAAATCAAAGCTTTCCAACATCAATTTTTGAGAATTCAAGTTTGATGTTCATAAAAATTTATTGTTTACTTGTTGATCAAGCTACTATGACAATGTGTAGCTAAACCCCTATTTGTGTCAAGGTTAGTGGTAGATAATCTCATTTTTGTATGTATTTAGCTTGATATTTTGTATGTGAACAACTTGATGATAAAAATATAGTGAAATATCCTTGTTTTATGGTTTATATTTGACTTGATCATTATTGAGAAATATGTTCAACTCTTGACCTAGGTTTTCATCTATCAACAAATAATTTCTATACATAGTTTTGTGAGTTGATATTCACTAATATTGAGCTTTTAAAGTTATCAAATTGATAGTTAGATAGAGAGATCATCTAAGGATCAATTTGATAAAACTCACAATTTGTTTTAGAGATGAACATATTGAGAGGATATGTGATTATTTTGATTGTTAATGAGTTCACATGCTTTATTGAGAAAATACGTCCGAAATAGATTATCGAGCCCTAATCTTGACACGTTTTTATCAATCTTTTAAAAACCAAAACTCTCTTTTACCAATTCTTGATACTTTGCATGAAATCAAAACTTTTCGTTATTAAAACCAAAATCAAACCCTTTTATGAATCTTAAGCTTAAAACAATTATAACTGTAGAACGACGATGATATCACACCAATCTCTATGGAAAATGATAATTTAAATACTCACCCTATAAAGTGTTTTCAACAATAACCACCTCTTCCACAATTGTTGGAAGAGTCCAGTCTTTCCACTCCCATATTTTTGACTGAAAAAAAGGAGAAATCGTTCCTATTGGTCTTTAATCCAAGTCCAATGAGTCTCATATACACCCCACTTCTATAAGGGGAAAATATTCTCAATTTATCCAAAAAATATAGCCTCTCACAATCCTTCGCGACAGACCCTCAAGACACTAAAACACCATAAATACCCGGACAATCCTACACAAACAAAGTTACCCCTATTATATTTTTTAGCAAGCAAAAAAAAAATCACAACAAAAATATACAATTGATAATACCGTTGGGCCCAAATGTCTCTATGGGCCAGGCCCGACTCTTTTAAAAACACTGAAGGCCCATGGGATGGATTGCCCTTGTACTTCCAAGCCACGTTGACCATTTTCTCTCTAACAAACTACTAAAATTCATTCCCATTTTCTTTCCACGCAACAAATGCATTTCTAAGTTATTACTCTTCACACTCACTCCCTCACTCCTCATTCTCTCTCTCTGCATGCAATTCCCATTGATCTCAATTCGCCGGAAATGACGAACAAGGGCAAATCAAATGCAAAGGGAAAAGCTCCCGCCGGGAAAGATTCCGACGGGAAACGCAAGCGCGGTTACGACGACGACAAAACCGGCGGCCTCAAGAGGAAGAATCGAGGAGTCGTCCAGTTCTTCGAAGACGAAGCAGACGACGTCGACGACAGCGAAGAGAGTGACTACAGTGATCTCAGTGATGGTATACGATCATACTTCCTTCACATTTTTTCTTTCATTTTCTTCATGTTAGGGTTTCACTTACATTTTGTTGTTCCATTTCTCACGATCATGTTAGGGTTTGCGATTTTCAATTTTCATCAATTGAATTTCTATTTGTATCAATGTATCATACAGGCTCTTATGTTGTAATCTGAAACTTTTGGTGTGTAGATTCTTATGAGGATGAATTTGAAACTTTGTCAACGAGGAATGTGTCGGATAAGGGTCAGAGTAGCTTCCCCTCTGTCCCTAAACAGGAGCTTGTGGATGAAGTAGAATATGATAGAATGGTGGAAGAACAAATGGGTTCTAGGTTTTTCACTTTTGCTGATGATGGTGATGATGAGTTTGAGGATAAACCAATGGACCAGAGTGCTCTACATCATGCTCTTAAGGAATCAATTCCAACCATATGGAAAGTTAAATGCACTGTATGTCACCTGAAACAGGACTTTTAGTGAGATTATGTTAACCATAGTTCCAAGCTTTACATTCCTAATATTTTAGGTGTTTCTTTGTTTCATTTATTAAGCTTTGTTTACCGCAGGTTGGGCGGGAGAGGCTTTCGGCCATCTGTTTGATGCAGAAGTTTGTTCACCTGAAATCACTTGATAGTAAATTGCAGATAATATCTGCCTTTGCTGTAGATCACATGAAAGGATATGTTTACGTTGAAGCTGAAAGGCAATGTGATATAAATGAGGTAGGATTCAGTACTGGTGATTTTGATTGGTTTATAGATGATTAGATATAGATTATTATTTGAGAAAGGTTTCTGTTGCTAGCTAAATCTGTTTTTATGGGTTACAAATATCACTTCAGGCATGTAAAGGGATGAATGGTATTTATGCTACTCGGGTGCAACCTGTTCCGAGAAATGAAGTTTTTCATTTGTTCTCTGTTAAAATTAAAAAGCCGGAAATTTCTGAGGGTATGTGGGCTCGCGTAAAAGCTGGTAATTACAAGGGAGACTTAGCACAGGTATTGCATGAGTAATGATGTTGAGTTTTCATTGCTATCCAACTCGCGAAATGCTTATTCCCTTTATCTATTATTTTATATTGGCAGGTTGTAGCAGTGAATAATACGCGCAAAAAAGTTACCGTGAAGCTGATTCCAAGAATAGACCTACAGGCTCTGGCTGCCAAATTCGTAATCTACCTTCACATGATTTTTTCTGCTTTTTTCCTTTCTATTTACTGAAGTTCAACTGTTAGCTTTGACTATTCCTGTTTCCCTTCAGGAAAATAAGATTAGAGACTAGTACAATTATTTGCATTTAGTATACCTGCATCTCACATTTGGAAGGTCATGATGGATTGTGTCAAAATCACATCTACTCGAGAGTTTTGTAACTTGGATCTTTTTCCAACCCCTTGAATATTTTTATTTGATTCTTTCAATCTGATGTGTTATGGAAACTATTGTACGATGCAACGGAGATTGAGGAAACTGCTACAATTGGGGTTGGACTTGTAACTTGACTCAATGGAAAATTTATTCCTTGTTTTTTTAATTTATATTTTAGTTACATTGATTCGTAAAACCTGGGAGGGAATCTAACTATTACCCGGTCACCGTGAATTTAAGGCGGAATTGTATTATGGGTTGTGTCCCGAAGTGACGCGAATTCCCATTTCCACTTGCTGCTATTTTGACTTCATTGTTCTTATCCTATGGTTGTGTACATATAGACAAGACAATTGTTGTTGAATGTTTTCTGATTACTGTAGGGTGGAGGATGTCGCCAAAAAAACTCGGTACCAGCACCAAGATTAATCAGCTCCAGTGAACTTGAGTAATATTGCATATTCTCATACTTGTTTTTTATTTTTTTGGATTGTTTCTCTGATGATTATTTTTCAATGGTTCTGCAGGGAGTTCCGACCTCTGATCCAAATTAGACGCGACCAGGACACAGGCAAGGTTTTTCAGGTTCTTGATGGTTTGCTCCTCAAAGATGGATATGTATATAAGAAAGTATCTCCAGATTCATTAAGTTTTTGGGGTGTTGTTCCCACTGAGGAGGAGCAATTAAAATTCGGGTCTTCTGAAAACAATGAATCAAATGATATGGAGTGGCTTTCTAATATTTATGGTGACACAAAGAAAAAACGGGTAATAACAGCTGACAAGGGCGATGGCAAAGGAGAGGGCTCATCAGGTTCAGGAAAAGATTTTGAATTATTTGCTCTTGTGTGTTTTCGGTAAGTTTCGGTCAAACTTAGCATTTGTGATATCATACAAACTCTTTTTCTCACTCACACACAAACACCCACAGACACACACACACAAGCCGATGCAGTTGCACACATGCACATCTTGCAGATTGATGATTTTAATGTCTAACAGAGCTTTTCCATTGCAGCAAAAAGGACTTTGGTGTGATAATAAGCACGGATAAAGATGGTACTTACAAGGTAATATTCAGCTTATGCAGTGTCATTTGTATAAGCCTTTGATTTTGAGTGTTTGGTGCTTTTTTATAGTTATATTATAGCTTTTCCGGTCTGTTGTAGATTCTTAGAGAGAGTTCAGAAGGACCCGCTGCTGTAACTGTTGAACGAAACGAAATAAAAAGTGCGCTGTGTGATCTTAAACTTAGTGCCCAAGACCTGCACAGTAAGACTATAATTGTTAATGATAATGTTAAGGTTCTGGAGGGTCCATCCCAGGTCTGATGCTTGTTTCTGAATGGGTTTTTGTTGGTTGTGGTATTTTTGAATCTCTTTACACCTTTTGATATTTTCAAAACTATTATGTTATTTTGCAGGGTAAACAAGGTGTAGTTAGGCATATCTATCGTGGGATTGTTTTTGTGTATGATGGAAATGAGGAAGAGAATGGTGGTTACTTCACAGCTAAAGCTATTATGTGTGAGAAAGTCAAGCTTGCTGTTGGTGATTTCAGTGGAACGGGAAAGGTGTAACATCTTTTCTAGTACCCTGCTTGGTTACAAACGCTGAGAACCTGTGTTGAGTTTTGAAATTTTTACTCATTGATCTATACTCAGGATGAACCAGGCCCTTTAGTCTTTGATGACCAACCATCATCACCAAGGTCACCACTATCACCGAAAAAGCCATGGCAAGCAAGAGAAAGTGATCGCGAGTGTATGTAATGACACCCTTCTCCTAGACACGTCTTTTAGATGTGGACACAGTACACATGTTACTAATTTTCCTCAATGCAATCATTGTGCATGCAGTTAACCGTGGGGACAGTGACAGCTTGTTTGCTATTGGCCAGACCTTGAGAATTAGGATAGGTCCTTTGAAGGGATACCTCTGCCGTGTCACTGGCATACGTCGCTCTGATGTTACTGTGAAACTAGATTCTCAACAAAAGTTTCTTACAGGTATGCTTATGCTGGTCTTACTCTTGATTCTTCGAATATCTGATCACCATCATCTGTGACGATTTCCTTGAACTTTGTTATCATTCAGTTAAATCTGAGCACCTTTCCGTGGTTCAAGGGAAGAGTACTGCAGTGTCAACAAGGTATTTATGAGATTGACGTTAATTGTGATTGCCACAACTACTTACTGTTACTGTTTATTTGTTTTGTCTGTTTGTGAACATTGTTATGAGTTCTCTATGTTTCTTATATCAGTGATGATCCAGATTCGAGTTCATTGAAGCCATTTGATTTGCTGGGTGGCGCTGAAGGCGGCTCTGGAGGTGGGAATCCTTTATTCTCAAATTTATTGGCATCTCCTTGTCCTTCAACAAGAATAACATTTTCTGTATAAGACAGTCTATAATTAACATGCATGACAGTTTCCTTTGCCGTGCTCTGTTTGCTATGGATTTTTTGTTGAAATTTACATCTTTTCAATTGGAAAGGTTGGATGAATAGTAATGCGGGAACATCCACTGGAGGCGGTGGATGGAATGCTGGAGAAACCTCCAGCGGAGGCGGTGGTTGGAATGCTGGACAAACCTCCACTGGAGGCGGTGGTTGGAATGCTGGACAAACCTCCACTGGAGGCGGTGGATGGAATGCTGGAGAAACGTCAGCTGAAAGGTATACACATATTTCATAGTGATAGATAGCTAGTTACTCTGATTTCATAGTGATAGCTAATTATACTCGATGGCTTCAATCTTCAAAAAAATGGTAGTTTATAGTGGATGGCCAAAACTCTGCCATATAAAATTGGGATTGCGACATACGGCACCGCCATGGTGGGTGGCGTTTCACAATCCGCCTCACCGTTCCACCATGACTGCTATGTGACAACACTTCTGATACAGAGGAGAACAGTCTCATCTAGAAGAGTCTCTAGTTGATATATGAAGAAATTAGAATGCATATATGTACAATTGCATTCTTGTTTAAAAAACTGTCATGGCAATTGTTTCTGCTAAGACAGTCTTTTGTTCTTATTTTACTTTTTAGCTTGATTTTATTGCTCTGTTTTTTGTTCCCCTCTTGTCTCATGGCATTGTTTTTGCAGGAGTGCATGGTCTAACCCTTCAGCTCCAAGTTCTGTGGTATGTCCTAATGTAGCCCAAAAATACTGCGCACACTTTTATTCCCCCTTCGCCTCTTTTCTGTCTCCCTCTAGGGGTTTGGTTATTATTTTTCTGCATTTGTAAATATATTTTTGTTGTTGCTGCAGCCAGGGTCTACCTCGGATCCCCCCAGCTCTCAGGGTAATGCAGAAGATAACGGCTGGGCCACTAAAAATACTTCAACTCCAAAGCCCTCATGGGGTGCTGCAGAGAACACAGGAGTCACATCTGAGCCTGACCAGTCTGGTGGCTGGGGAAAAGGTGGAGGCAGCTTGGGTCAGGCAGAGATTAATGACAATCAGAATACTGCCTGGGGCACTAAAAGTACTTCAACTCCAAAGCCCTCATGGGGTGCTGATGTGAACAATGGAACCACATCTGAGCCAGATCAATCTGGTGGATGGGGAAAAGGTGGAGGCAGCTCGGGTCAGGCAGAGCTTAATGACAATCAGAATACTTCCTGGGGCACTAAAAGCACTTCAACTCCGAAGCCCTCATGGGGCGCTACAGTGAGCACTGGAACCACATCTGAGCCAGATCAATCTAGTAGATGGGGAAAAGGTGGAGGCAGCTCGGGTCAGGCAGATCTTAATGACAAACAAAATACTTCCTGGGGCACTAAAAGTACTTCAACTCCGAAGTCCTCGTGGGGTGCTGCAGCAAACACTGGAACCACATCTGAGCCAGATCAATCTGGTGGATGGGGAAAAGGTGGAGGCAGCTCGGGTCAGGCAGATCTTAATGACAATCAAAATACTTCCTGGGGCACTAAGAGTACTTCAACTCCGAAGCCCTCGTGGGGTGCTGCAGCAAACACTGGAACCACATCTGAGCCAGATCAATCTGGTGGATGGGGAAAAGGTGGAGGCAGCTCGGGTCAGGCAGATCTTAATGACAATCAAAATACTTCTTGGGGCACTAAGAGTACTTCAACTCCGAAGCCCTCGTGGGGTGCTGCAGCAAACACTGGAACCACATCTGAGCCAAATCAATCTGGTGGATGGGGAAAAGGTGGAGGCAGCTCGGGTCAGGCAGTTCTTAATGACAATCAAAATACTTCCTGGGGCACTAAAAATACTTCAACTCCAAAGCCCTCATGGGGTGCTGCAGAGAACACCAGAGTCACATCTGAGCCTGATCAGTCTGGTGGCTGGGGAAAAGGTGGAGGCAGCTCGGGTCAGGCAGAGATTATCGACAATCAGAATACTGCCTGGGGCACTAAAAGTACTTCAACTCAAAAACCCTCATGGGGCGCTGCAGTGAACACAGGAGTCACATCTGAGCCTGATCAGTCTGGTGGCTGGGGAAAAGGTGGAGGCAGCTCGGGTCAGGCAGAGATTAACGACAATCAGAATACTGCCTGGGGCACTAAAAGTACTTCAACTCCGAAGCCCTCATGGGGTGCAAGTGAAGGCACTAATTGGGGAAGCAATGAAGGTCCAAGTGAAACTTCTGATGGCGGAGGTGGGGGGAGGGGAGGTTACCGTGGTAGAGGTTCCTCTGATAGAGGTGGCTTTAGAGGTAGAGGGTTTCGGGGTAGAGGGGAACGTGGGGGCTTTGGTGGTAGAGGTAGATCAGATAATGAAGGTTTTGGTGGTAGAGACAGAGGATTTGGAGGAGGCAGAGGCCGTGGAAGGAATGACCGACCTGGTGGTTGGAACAATAGTCGTGATTCTTGCGAGGATGGATCCTCCGGCTGGAAGAATAATAGTGGGTCTGGGGCTTGGAACCAGAATAGTAGTGACAAGAAGGATGGAGGGAACTGGAGCCATGATAATGCAGATAAGGAGCGTTCAAGTAATGCTGGAGGTGGGAGTAATATGCCGTGGCAGAGCCAGTCTTCAGCAAGTGGTGGAGCTAGCGGTGGTTGGAACAGTGATGGGCCAGGACAGGGGACAGAGGATAAAGGCGGTGCTGGCTGGGCAAAGGGAACGGATTCCGGTGCTGGCTGGGCAAAGGGAATGGATTCCGGAGCTGGCTGGGCAAAGGGAACGGATTCCGGTGCTGGCTGGGCAAAGGGAACCGAATCTGCTCCAGATAAGGGTCAATCGTCTAGTTGGAATGATTCTGCAGCAAATGGTACGGAATTGTTCACTCTAGTTTACATCCGTTTTGATAAGCTTGAGATATTTTCAAATGAAAAAAGATTATGGGCATGCAAAGAATGATTATTTATTTATTTAATGTGAATCAGAAAACAAGTATCTAATTTTGTATATATAACAAACTCTCTTAAACTTGTGACTGATTTATTATGTAGGTGCTGCAGGTTCGTGGGGCAAGAAAAATGACGGTGGTAGCAAAGGTGGATGGTAATTAATTTCTAGAACATGCTAAATGAACCAAAGTAAATCAAGCTCAGTAGTTTCTTGCTGATTTCAACCATTTTTGTAAATCCACACAAATCTTTCTGCTGGAACATGATGTCCATTATGGTAACTTTAAATTATCGTAAACAGATCTGTTGAATGACTAACCCTTTCTGCTATGTTTTGCAATGAATGTTATTGACCTGCGTGTTTTTTCCTTCTGGTGAAATATATATTGTTGCTTATTTATTGACCGTGGTGCTTATAGTCTTTTGTTGCACATCTGCGATGAAATTATTGTATGATTATGGAATGGGTTGATTATGTGGTAATTCTCTAGCACATTTTTTTTAGTAGAGTTTTGCACAATGGACATCTGCGATGAAATTATTGTATGATTATGGAATGGGTTGATTATGTGGTAATTCTCTAGCACATTTTTTTTAGTAGAGTTTTGCACAATGGACTTGAACAAGCTATAGTTGTTAGCTGGCTAGATGTTATGATAAAATATAGGATATGAATGAATCAATTTTTGCACATAAATTTTTGAAGTACATTAGTACTTTTTTGGGGGGCAAAAAGGTCTACCAGCCAAAAAAGAATAAACAAAAATCCCATGGAAAAATCTGTTAGGAGAGTTCTAACTTCTAAATAATTCTGGCTTTATCATCAAAGACTAGTTGCGAAAAACACTTCCCTTACTGAAAAATCCCAAAGAAAAGTTGGATTGTGTTACTTCTGCAATAATATGCTATTGAGTGAGATTTGGAAGTTGTTGGGATGAAAAGGTCTTGACTGCATTTAGACTTTTATGTGATTGGCAGCTCATATGCGTATCCTCAGCTCATATGCGCATCCTCGCCTAGAGCAGTGAGATTTGGAGTCGATGTTTTGCCTTCTAGCCCTAGTTGGGTTCTTCAATGCATTTATACTTGTATGTGGTTGATGGCACTAAGTGCCAATTACCAAAGGAGCGGGTTGGGAGTGGGTATTTTGGCTTCTTACCCTGGTTGTGGGAAGAAGAATGCTACGCCTTATTGTGTGCAGGCAACTTAGGCATGGTCTTCCTCGTCCAATATCGCATTCTTTGTATGTTGGTACACTTGGATGTAGAGAAATAAATCAATCTTTGATGTTGACTTTTGAAGATCACTTGATCCTTGTACATGTTATTCTGATCTTACTCTAAAGACATTGGAAAATACAATTATCATCACCTTCAGTCAGACTACATTTGATGGATGAAACCTGCTGAATGATGGATTAAGTTATACACTTGTGCATGCAAGAGAAATCTCAATGCTTTTAGAGTGTGGTGTTTTTTTTTATCCGTAACTCGGACATGCACTGAATCTAAAGGATACATAAAAATTTAGTTTGTGTGACGCCTTGAATGCAGAGATTTGGGTTTTGTACTTTGCCTTATACTTGGAGAGATTGTAGATATTTGGGGCTTGTACCTTGCCTTAGATATGGCTTGGAAAGATTGTATTTCACATCTTGTTGGGAAGAGTGATTCTAAATTCCCTGTTGACATGATTATGGATAACTACAATCTTGGAGACATGATTCCCACTTTGGCGAGGCATAAATGCTACCTTTAGCATTAGGTTAGCAGGTCAAAACATATGTGCAGCTTGGCTTACAAACTATAGTCTCTAGAAAAAACAGTCTACAATTCTAATGAAATCATTATTGAAAAACAACTATCTAACAACCGTTAATTTGATTAGTTTCGCGAAGCACATATCACCCTGAAGAACTATCCTTCAAGGGAATCACTTTTGTGGTGCTCAGTTGTTCACTATCATATTAAAACGAGGATGGATAGTTTGACACGCATCAAGCTTAAATTAATTTCGCTAGAAAATATTCAATTTTAAAATTAAATCTACACTTCTAATAAACTAAAAGAAGAAACGAAAAAATAATAGAAACTAATGAGTTTGAATTAATGATATGTAAAGATATAAACTTTGTCGTATAAGTTATTTTGTGAATGGTTTTGCAATCACAATGTAATTTTGAACAATCTAATTAAAAAAAATTGATTCTAATTAAAAAAAATTGATTCTTAAAGTAATTTGATTATAAACATATTATAAATTGTCCACCGGGAAAGTTTGTCTATCAAAGAATAGAATAAAACCCAATAATTGATGTTCAAAATCACAAGACCAAAGGTGTTCATAACACCATTACACAACACACTGATTTTTTTTTCTGAGGTCATCTCTAAAAACTAACGTGTCTAATAAGTATTTAGAAACATTGACGTGCTCCCACCGTTTCAAGTTATATAGAGCATATTAAGTCTAATTAGGTGCCACTATCTATTTCACAGTCAAATATAGTAAAAAAAAAAAAGGTCATACTTTTCCATTAATCATCTCAAAGATCACTTCAGTGGAAATATAAACTAGTCAATTATAGTATAAAAAGTCATGCTTTTCCATTAATCATCACAAAAATCACTTCTGTGAAAATATAACCTACATGAAATTGGAGGAAATACAACTTCTGTCAATCTTAAAATAAGGGGTTCGCCTTTTAGGCAGGCTTAATATTTTTTTGTCCTTTATCTTTGATTAGGGATCTAGTTTATTCCCTTAATTCTTAAAAAGACAGTTTTGGTCATTTAACTATACAAATTGAACCGTGTTAGTTATTTCTGTCTATTTTGATAATCAAAGTTAATGGACAAGATTAAGATTATGTGGCAGTGACATGAAATTTCATATGGTTTGGATCAATTTTTGTGATTGATTAGCGATGAAAAAACTAATCACTAAAATAAATTATGAATTTTGATTATTGCTCTTCTTCAAATCTACAAAATTCAAAATTCAAAATCGTCTTCATCTTCTTCGACACTTGTTATACAACATCCATTGAGACTCATTGGTGCATGTATGATTTTTCAAAAATGTGATTTGTCAATGAAAATAGAACACCGAAGTTGGAAAATGACCATTGTTGAAAGGGGATTGTTCTTAATTAAAATAACTAATGAATTCTTTCAAGCTGATCTTTAATAAAGAATGTTGTGAATCTTTTAATCAAGAATTCTTTCAATTGATCTATTGTTGATTCCCACTGTTTTATATTTTTCATCAGGAATTCTGTTTTGTTTTCACTTGAAATTAATGAATATCACACACCAAGTTTGTCTCCTGAAGAGTTGTAGTAAAAAAATGATATACTTCTTCTCCCAATGGGTTTGCGCTTGCTAGCCCATGGATGTCAGTATTTTCTAAGCTTTTATTTTCTAATTAACTTATTTTTAATTGCTTATTGTTGAAAGTGATCTCTCAAGTAATCAATACATGAACTTTTCAGAGTTAAAGAATGAGCAATTAATAATTGACTTGTGGGACAAAATGTTTTGGGAGTTTGAAACACGACAAGGAAATGTCCATGCTACTAACAATAATAAATATGTAGAATTTATGGATCTATGTGCTTGTAGGTATTGTAATTAATATTTTGGATAATGACTCTGATACTTGATGAAATCATGTTGGTTAATCCGTTGTTTGATCATGTTGATCTCTGGTGACATCTCTCCAGCTGTCTGTCTGTCTCTAATGATGTTGTTCATCTTGAAGTTTTCTCAAGCCTTGTCAGGGAGAAAATTCAAGGTTTCAATGAAGTGTTAAAGTCGAAGATAATGTAATAAAGAACTTGAAGCTTCAAAGTTGTGAAAGAGATTATGTGTGAAAGCTCCCCTGATCGGTCGTGCGTTTAGTGTAATGTCTAAGTAACCAGAGTATTGTAAAAATGTTAGAGTAACTCATAAGTTACTAAGGCAACTCCCACACACTTACAAAATCTTTTGAGAATGTTCTCTTTTCAATAAAATCAACAAAAAATGTTTTTCACATATAGCTAGTTGGCTACAAGCCTAAATAATCTCTTAGGTGTGAAAATTACACTGAATAATCGATTATCCATTAGTCTTAGTAGATTATATCACTTGTAACGCCTCATTTTAAATTATTAGGATTGATAGTTGATTAGTAACGACACAATTTAAAAACTTTCCATTTTATAATGCGCATGACATAATCGATTATGAGCATTAAAAAGTCCATGAATCATTTTTCTTTTGAGCTACATTTTCTCCTATATAAGGAGGATGCCTCCTAACTATTTCACACATCAAAATTCAATTTTAAATAATTCTTCTCTCATTTTAACCACTCTCTCTTTTATTCTTTCTTTCACTAAAAGTTGACTTAGTGCCTTTGTGAGTGAAATATATTTGTGAGATTTTAGTTATATTGGTGTTCAATTATTTTATCAAGAGTGCGATTCTCTTGAAGTTTATCTTTTTTTTTGGTTGTTGAGATTTTCCTATTATAACCTCTGTTTGGTTTCTGAGATTGTACGGTCAAAATCTCATTCTTGGTTCGTGAGTTTATCCTATGAAAAGTTCCAATTGGTTTGAGGGATTAACCCGTGAAAATCTCTTAGTCGATTGTAATAAGGTTCGTGGTGCATAACCTGGTAAAAGCTCAAAAGATTTTAACAATGGAACTCTCAAGAAGTCTTTTTTGGGGGAGAGGTGTAGGCCAAGAGATTGAACGAACCTCTATAAATCCTAATGTAATCTCTCTTTTCTCTCTCTATATACTTTATGCTATTTACTTTTCTTTACATTTCCATCTTTCCATTTTCCGCTAGTAACACAAATCACTGCTTTTAGTAATTAATCATAAATTAATCTATCTCTTATGTTTGGTGTCATTTGTTCAACAAGTGATATTAGAGCCCAACTCCCGTTAAAGACTAATCGTCCCAGGAGAAAGGAAATGACTTTAGAAGATTCATTAAAAAAACCTCATCCTTTAATGGATAAGAGTATAGTTTTTAGAAAGAGAAGATGGGAATCTTCATTGAGAGGATGAATTATGATATTTGGAAAGCTATGAAAGAAAATCCATTTGTTCCCACACATGAAATTAATGGTGTTGTGATAAACAATGATAATAAAGATGATTG